CTGTCTGGGCGCAAGGAGGGCCTCATAGGGGGGAGGGAGGGGGCGCAGGGGGTGGGGACGTAACTCTCCACTCACCCAGCGCCACCACGACCTGGGAGACACAGGCAGAGAGAGCAAGGATGTGGGGAAAGTGAACGTCTCGAGCGCTATTTCTGTCTCCTCTCAGTGCGTCTATATACTCTTTCTCTGTCTTCTCAGTGCAGCACACCCTCACTCATACCTGTATGCAGGTGAAACAACGTGTCTGTTGTCACACACACCTGTTTTAAGTGAATGTTCCCTCCTGGTCTCGATCTGTTTTTCTCTCCAAACATCCCCACCTGGCCACATCACACATGGAGCAACACAATAGCCTTGTTGTGTTGGCACTATTGCTCAGGAGGGAAATACAAGTTTTGTGCTGTCATGCTGTCCCCTCCCTCCTTGTCTCTGCCCCCCTCTGGCTGTTTTACGATCAAATCTGATGCAAATGGCAGTCTGAACAATTGCTCCTTTATAAAAACCTATAATTCCCTACAGCACAGAGTGAGATGGTAAGAGTCAGACCCCCCAATGCTGATCATGGGGGTTACATTTAGCCTTTCTGGATTAAATTAAATGCATCCTGCTTGCAAGCATTTTGAGAGTGAGGGCTACCTAAAAGGGAGAACATTGTCGGGAGGGCTACTCTGTGTACTTGGTGAACATCCATATTAAATTGATTTTCATATACAGGGTTGAACCAATTTGATTTGGATTTGGAATTGCGGGTGAGGAAGTTATTTTTTCCTCTGGTTGTGGTATTAACACTGAAGTATCTTATGAGAAATTTACTGATATGAGCTCAGAGTCAATTTACTCAGCCCACATAAACCAGTATACCTTTGTCACAGCAACCGTTTTGACATAAAATAGTAGGGTAAACACAGGTGCTACCAATGATGCTAATTAAGGTTCCAATCAATTTAGTGTAGCAGAGCCTTTCCAGTGAGCCAACAAGCACAATAACAACAACCAATGTATAGACTCATACAAAAATAATCCCTCTCAATCATCACTTATGACCTACTAGAAGTGTTTGGCAGTGTCTAGACTATTTTCTTATTTTTTTCCTGTGTTCAGGACAATTCTTGGTCAAACACTGTCTGCCACTGATGTATAAAGAGTTGCACGTCAGTGTGTCTGACTGAGACCGTGTGCTTCGGCGCAGTCATACAAAATATGGCAATGTGGCTTTTTCCAACATTTACAAAACAGCATCCGACAAATCAATATGCCGTAAGTTTTGTTTGATGACCATATTCTCTGCTTATTAAAACCTTTATGACAGATTTGTATAAAAGAAATAAATGGAATAAAAACTTGTGGCAAAGCAGTTTTAAGTATAGATGGTCAAACTTGAAACTGAATGTAGGAACATTCAGACCTTTAGAAGTTTCCCAGTGCGAAATGCCAGTTTCTCAAGAAAGTCTTCAGCAGAGTTCCAAGTGGGGATGCGGTAGGTCTTCTGAATGTATTCTGGCTTGGCCCGCTCCAGTACTGCCCCAATGTGCTCTTCTGGGTTCCTGATCTTCTCCACTTGAACCTTTGCGAGGAAGGGGAAGAAAAAGGCGTGCAATTTAAGATATGAACCTGCAACCTTTCAGTTACGGGGACTACATGTTAAACCAAGGAACTGGAAAAAGGATTCGGAGGATTACAATCATAGCTGATCAAGGCATTTTTTAAACGGCAGGGTATTAGCAAAAGGAATCCAATTCCAATTCTTTGTTTATTGCACTCCAGATCCCCAAGCTGTCAAAAATGCCACATTAACAGTTGGTGGATTATCCTGAGTAACTGGGACGTTGTTTCTGGAAAGATCTAATGCTGTTTCAGATGCTACTGTTTTTCAGTGCGATTTCATTCACCTCCATTGTACTGACATATTGTACTGGGGTGGACATATGCGAGGCAGATAAGACGAATCACTGGTACACAAAAGTAAAGATGAAAGACGGACTTACCACTCCTTTCAAGACGATATCAGATTCACTGTCTTCTGAAGGGTAGACAACACCAGGACAGTCAATGAGGAAGATGCGCCTCATCAAAGTGATGTACTGCCACACCTAAAAAAAGGAAGGAGATCAATGCTGTCTTTATGGGCAAATCATTTCAGTTTCACATGAGCTTATTAAAATTTATATCATCTTGTTTGTACTTAATGATACAAATTTTGGCAGAGCAGAGCAAAGACTGTTTTGAGTCTGGCCAAGAACTGTGGTAACAGCTTCCTTTCTTTTCATGCTAGAAACAACTATTCCTTTTCATGACTGGTTCATCAGACAGAGGGATTGTAATGTAACTTTTTCACACAAACATAAACTACCCTTCCAGTCCAACAAAGGAGGAATGAGGGTCACAACAGTGCTGCGGATCATGAACTTGTTTGGATGTCATCAAACAGTGTTGAGTATGAGATGAGAATCAAAGACAAGGTGAAAGATAAAGCATTGCTGGCGGAAGGCCCATCAGATTCATTTGATAGGTGTGCAAAAAAAAAATATCTCCCCTCTGTTGTCCAAGTTCATAGCCTTGGCAAGCATGGAAAAGGAAAGATATTTTCCCTTTCTTTCCCCTTGACCTTGCTTTGGACAATGGGGTTTTCAGACCCTTGCTCGTTTCCAAACAGGATAAACAGGCCCAGAGAGAGGAAATTAAAGATAAAAATGGTTGTTGTTCTTTCTCTTGGCCTAGTCTCAACTTAGATTTTCAGTTATATAGTTAAGAACATGTAGCAGACTACTTCTGTTGTTGCAGCC